GCTCATCCCCATCTCCTCTGAGGAATCTGCCTTCTTAGAACTCCTCAACTACCATCATTGAGCCACAGATTTTTTTGCTTCAAATGCATTTCTGAGCTGATGGCTAACAGGAGTTTTGTGATTTCATGATTTCAGGGCGAAGACGGCACTGCAGCAGTACCTGGCATGATGGGAGCAAGCCTGGGCACATGCGAGCACCCCACATCCTTGTTTAAGGAAGTACAGGAACTAGCCTCATTTGATCCCTTCTATTTGCACAAGTCACCTTGGACTGCAGGGAGCTGTTTTGCAAAAGCAATTTAGTAGGCTTAGATCTCATTCATCTTGAGAACATTTTTTGAGGTAGTAATTTCCTCAGAGGACTGTGTTTTGTTTTGGTTTTTTCTGAGCTACCTGGACTCTTTATTAGAACAATCAATCATTTTCCTTTGGACCTACAATTTTTTGCCTATGCTGCAGCCACTTTGTGAGTGAGAATGTGTGTGTGTGTGTGTGTGTGTGTGTGTGTGTACATGTGAGTCAGAATGAGTGGATGTGTGGATGAGGGATACCTCAGATTTTTCTTTTCTTATTTTGTGTGAAAATCTCTTTTCTACAGATTTTCCAGGGTTTAAGCATTGCTTGCTGTATATAAAAAAAAAACTTTACTGAATTATATACAGTTTGAATGAAATATTATTTTAAAAACAAAACAATTGTTTAGTGTTCCATAAAGGTTATGTTGAATTTTGGTCAGATGAATATTTGTAAGTAAAAAAAATATATGCACTTCTGAACCTCAACTTACATAGATTTTCTTTATAAAAACAAAAAACGAAAATGTTGGCTATAGTTGGCCTGAATAACAGGCATTATACATGGTGCTGTGTAAAGTAGTAAGCTAGCATCTTACTGCTAGCATCTTACTGCCATCAATATTAGCAGGTACAGAGCCTTTTCTCAGCCTATTTTAATAAGTTTTCAGTTTTCCAAGTCAGAAGAACTGGGTGGAGTGGGGTGGAATGAGCTGACAGACCCTCCATAGGTTTTGTAACACATCAAAGGGAAATTTAACTACTGATAGTGAAAGCCCAGCCATGACTCCAGTGAGCTACCCCTGACAGGGACTGGGGACTGAGAGCTGTCCTAAATCCTATCATTGGTGTGGCAGTATCTGGCAGGATTTAGATGTGGAACTTTATGCCCAAACTAAATGTAAGTTGTCATTTCCTGGAAATAAAGTCAGATCACTTTGTGCTTCCTGAAACAGCATATATCACTGTGAAACTAGAGTGTTCTACAGACACATCTGTAGAAAGAAGCAAGAACAAGGTAGTATAGAAAGCTGTCTTTCTCTTAGCTGTCTCAGCAAATTTTATACTAATTGCTCAGGAATGCTAGATGGTGTGCTTTTGTCAAATGAGATCTAAGATCTTTTCCTGCATGAAGCTAAAATGACTCAAGTTGAGAGAAAGGAAGGAATCTCCCCAGGATGACTGAAGATGACTTCTTTTTACAGAGTTTACTGCTTAGCCCTTCTACAGTCCTTAGCTTGGCACTTGCTAACTGGCTTCTGGGTCAGCTTCCAGGTGAACTCAACAGAGTTTGCACTTGACTATTTAAAGGTAGAAACAGCCTTCCTTTTCCCTTTGCTAGAAGGAAACTGGAGGCATTGAGGTCAGTATGTGAGGCCTGCAGTCCAGAAGCTTACGGTGAGTGTGTGCCACTGAGGGGGCCCCACGCCCAACTTATCAGCACTCCTGATGGGTTGCTCACATTGCAGCCACCCCATCACCAATCTGCACCTTCCTTGGAAGATTTAAATCTGATTGCAAATGATGTTTTTAAAATATACTTAATGTAGTGTTTCCTGTTCTCAACATGACCACCCAAGATTCAAACAGATTTCCATGTGGTTATTTTTTCAGAATTTTATAGATTTCAAAGTCTATCGTAACAGGAATGTAGGTTTTATGCAGATAGCAGAGTGCTGATGTGAGCAAAACAGTTTCATGAAAACCTAATATATTGGGAATAAAGCCTTACTTAGGCCCACTCATTGTCATTTCTAGTAATGAGAAAATATTCTTGGTTGGCATTTGTAACACAAAACACTCTAATGTTGGTATTAAAGACTACCAGGTAAATATAAGGAAACCAATAGTGAATGCTGAGACAATCTTGAACATAAATAGTATTAGAAAGCTGAAGACCCAATGAAATAACATGTTCACACTTCACCTCTGGATAAATCTTGCCTGTGACTAAAAACAGTGGGCAAATAAAAAGTGCTTTATGATAATTAACTTTTTTGATTTGAATGAATGAAAGGAAATGTATTTATTAAAACAAAGCTGTTTGCTGCTTTACACAGGTGCAGTGTTCAGTCAGCAAGGAAGTGGGAAGAAGGGGACATGGTCTTGTGTCTACTACCCAGGTTCTTAACTAAGCTTCTTGCTCTCTAATACTGCATTCTGTTTCTCCTTTTGTGCCCTGATTGTAACCCAAAATTTATGAACTAGAAAAGAATGTCCAATTTAATAAGTTGCATTTTTTCCTTAAGCACTTTATTCAGAACAGTACATGTTCTTCTTTTAGTGTTTGGATAATATGATTTTAACAGATGTTAATAAAAGCCAAGAAAAATCATGGCAACTTCTAAAAAGGAGTCTGTTTTCCAAATGTCTGGAACATTCGGAAACTTTAGAAGATAGTGTGTACTGCCTTTTGGAACCTGTGATTCTTTGTGAGTGAAGGGTTGAGAAGTAGCTTTGCATTTCTGAGTGGAACCCAGTGCCCTGGGGCATTTAGAACTCCCAGAGGCACCTGCAACAGTCTGAAGACCCCACTCTCCCTGGCCTCCTGAAGGCAGCAGACCTTTAATAAATGGCCACTCCCCACCACCAAGCCACAGCCCTTTGCCCTGCAATGTTGTATCTGCCCCTTCCTCCTCTCCTTAGGTATGCCACACCTCCACTGCCACCACCTGCTGGACTCGGGTCAGAGTTTGGCAGAGGACCATCTGCACCATCCCTCTGAAAAGACAAGGGTGCTCTCGATAACTGTGTGTTGCCTTTTCTCTGTCTGTGAAATGTGCACAGCACCTCCCAACTTAAGCCCTCACTGGAAACAGAAACCCAAGACTACCTGCCTCAGAATGGGATGAGGGAGGACAATGAGGTGGCTGATGAGGAAGGGAATTCTAGTAGAAGGAAGCTCTGAGAGCAGGAAGCCCAGGCAGGCCCCCATTTTCATAGTTAAGGACTGAGCAAGAAGAAAGGGGCACACCCTCCCCCAGGTCCTTATGGAGGATCAGTAGAAAGGGGTCGTGGCACTTTGCTACCAGGGATGGAGGCTGGTGCTGCCCCATCCTGTCCCTTGCACTGACCTTCCCTGATTATTGAGCAGAGAGGCACATGTTTGTTTCTCACATGATAGAAGTTTTGGTCCAGGACTTGGCGTGGGAAAGCTGAGAGAAACCTCCCCCTGCCCAAGTTCCTTGGTATTGACTGCCAGGCCATTAGCCCTCTCCTGAGGGCAGGGCCAGAGCCAGCCCTTACAGTGGAGCCATCTTCCTTGACTTCATGGGGTGGGCAGCCTGCCCTCCTCCCATCAGGCATCCGACACTGAGGAGCTGACAAGCCTTACAGCTCAAACAGGCCCATCCAAAAGCAGCTTCTGTTTGAGAAACCAGCCCTACAGTCTCTGCCAGGAGTACTGTCTTCTGAGAGTGAGCTGTCCTTAAACCCCTCTCAGGAGTCCCCACCTAGCCCCCCACTTCTTACCCCATTAGCTTTTGGTAGATGCCCTGCAGTGCTGAACCCCCAGCACCCCTGAGCAACCTGAGTAATAGAAGGGGTGTGTCACCATTCCTCCCACTCTGACCCTGTCACCTAGTGCCTCTTCAGCTTTCCCCCCTGCCTATCCCTGACCCTCTTAGCTACTTCTGGGAAGGTTGAAAGATCCATGAATGACACAAACACATCTCACCCTCAGCTCAGTTCCCCTCTCCTGCTATTGAAGGTTCAGTCACTCCATCTCATCTCACCATGATGGAAGATCCTTAGCTTCCTGACTAGGGAGATTCTAGTAGCTGTCAGCTGAGTGTACCCCCTCCAGGTAGCTCATTCAGAGCTAACATGTGGTGTGGAAGCCTGAGTGTAAAGCTGTTGTGCTCCTTGAAGTCATTTGCCAGCTCACATGGGCACAGATCAAGTGAGTACCCCTCTTAAGCTCACACACAAGGGACAAGTACAGCCCCACAGTAAGCTGTGGGTCTCGGGTTCTAGAACAGTGGGTCCTGCTTCCCAACACTCTGCTGAACACACTGTTTCATGCAGAGCCCTGGGAAGATTGTGATAAGCACTATGGGTATGGTCACGAAAAATAATGATGGCCTTAAACAGTAGGATCTATCCACTGTCTCAGACTAGAAAATGCAATGTCTCCATAGCAAGCTGTCTTCTGGTAGCCCACTGCCCATTTAAGGAGCTTCACGTCCTAGGAGTGTACTCGAGAAAACCAGCAGATTGTTAGCATTTCCCTGCTATTGTGGAAGAACATAGCCTTTTCCTCAGAGAGGATAGAGTAGGCCTGGGCTTGGTGACCTTACAATAAGCCAGAGCAAATTGGCAAGAGTGGCAGGGGGTGGTGATATTACCAGGACTTCCTGGTTTCTTCTACTGTAACCCTCGAAGTCCCTTAGAAGGCTGGCAAAGCCAGGCAATCGAAAGAGGCAACCTGGCTTCACTCGGAGCAATTAGGTCTGAAATTAGACCTGAGCCAAAGAAGTTGGGAGGAAATATCAAGAAAATTACATGAGCCCTGGTTCCCCACATAACTTTCTATTGTTTTTTGAACATGTCCTGATTCATAGCCACAGATGGGCACATCAGATCTGGCAGTGTTTAAGTGGCTGTTGAACTCTGGTTTATACCTGCCCCCATATCATTGTGCTGGCAATGTCACAGCCCATCTTGTTGAACTCTGAGTTCATAGTTACCAAGTTAGCATCTAAAATCGATTATCAATGTAGATTTATTGTTGGGGAGACATTGCCCTGTGTGACTCAGTATCCCCTCATGTGATACCATGTTTCATCAGAATACAGTAACTCATGCATATTTTCTAAAATCCAGGAAAAAAGTTTTATATTTTGTATACTGTTTAAGAAAGCAAGAAAGTATATACTGTTATTTTCATTGTCCACAAAGATAGCTGAACCAAGAAGGCACTGGTGCACAAAAAGTTCCTATTGTGAAGTTCCTTCCATGCAGACAAGAGTGCTCAGACATTTCATGTCATGGCCTTGTGGCCTTGCCCTGGGTCATGTGCTCAGAAGAACAGTACAGCATCTTGGTTCATGTCCTCGGGGACACAGTATGCCTCTGTGGGGCTCACTGCTCCTTCAGCTGCAGCACCTGTGGGATAACAGATGTTCTGCTGGACTTCTGAAACACAGAGATGACCAGTCCCACCCCACCCACCATCCACAAAGAAGCAGGAAAAGGAAGCGCTAAAATATCACTGAGGACCAAGCTGGGGGCCAGGCTGGGAGGGACAGCAAATGTGTTCATTAGGGACTAGGACTTAGAGAATTAGGAGAATGAAAAACATTTGTTGAGCACTTGTGCCATCAGGTTAAAGGCTTTATATCCTGTCTCCTTTTATCTTCACAACAGATCTATGAGGAAGATGATTATTGTGGATTTACTAGTTTAGGGTTAAAGTGGGCCTATCATTATCTCCATTTCATAGGTGAAGAAACTGAGGCCCAGTTTAAAGGTAAGTAACTTTCCAGAAGCTATTTAGCTGAGTACCAGAGGCAGGATTCCCCAGGATTGTCTCTACGGAGCTTGTGTCCCCCGCCCTCAGGGCCTTTTCCTTCAGGAAAAGTGCTAGGTAAGTGAAAATACATCTGCTCCCCAGAACAGAAAGTATAATACATCAAAACCCCCAGGGCCGGGGATTTAGCTCAGTGGTTCCGGCGCCTGCCTTGCAAACGCAAGGTCCCGAGTTCGATCCCCAGTACCAAAAAAAAAAAAAAAAAACCCAAAGAAGCCACTTCAAAGCAGAGCTTATTGGCAGATGTTGTGGGCACTTATTCCTGAGGTGCCATCTGGGCTCATACTGCTTCCCCTTTGTTCATTATCACCTGAGGCCAAAGAGGCTCCAGATCTCCCAACATTCTCACTAGTACTTCCCAGCTAGTTCACCCTCCTGCTCCTGACTTGGCCGAGAGTTACACCTGTGTGCCTCCTATGACCCTGGACACAAAGGAAATGCATCATGAGCATGGATCTAAGAAAGTTGGCTCTGGTAGGGATGACTGAAGAACACGTACTAGGATGAACTTGTGTCTTCTTGAGCCACACTTCCTAGGATTTTCTGACTTCCTAAGCTCTGGTACACTCAGCTTCCTCAGATGACAGTAGGAAAAATTACCTCACAGGGCCACAGCAAAGATTCAACAAGAGCCAGTGCACGCCAGCTCCTGCCCACCTTATCTTGCCCTCTGTCCACTTCATTCTGACAAGGTTGGACTTTAGATCTTAAGACCATGAGCATAGCAAACATTTAGGCAAATATATCAGTTAAGACCCAACCAGACACACATAGGTTATTACCATTTCAGACGTGCATGTGGCCTTCCAGAGATCCAACCCTCACATCCTTCGGGTTTTCCCAGGATGTTCATCTCATCTCCCAGCCCTTCCACCTCACCTCAGGCTCAAGGAGACATGTAACTCAGCAGCTGGAATGGCACAGGCGAAGCCCAGTTCTTCTACTTCTTATGGAATGGGCTGTCATGTGTGCTGTGGACCCTTTGGGTTCTCACCCAGGTTTGGAGGTGTTGGTGGGTCTGGTGCACTTTTCTAGAGGCTGTGAATGCTCCCCATGAATGGGAAGGTCCTGGGTTCTCATCACCCTTTCCAACGTGGGCTCCAGGAAGGGGCCCTACTGTGCAACCCCTGCTCTGTGAGCCCACTAGGGCCTCAACTAGGGGTATGCAGAACATGGAAGACATGAAAGGGTCACTTGGCTTTGAAGTTGGCTTCAGAATGTTAAGTACATTTTCCCAGTGGTTTCCATACAAAAATGCAAACAAAGTGCCTTTTCAATGAAAATATGACCCCAAAACAAGCAGCAAAAAAATGTAATGAAGTATTAAAAAAAACTATTGTTACTCTATGAAAACAAAAAATAGTTTAATATTGATACTGAAGTTACTTGATTACCCATATTTTCAGAACAGGACTTTATTAGATTGACTAGTTACCAAATAATTATCAGTCACCCCACATATACCACAAACACATAGTCATAAATTCCTTTTCACTTCACATTTAATAAAGAGCAAATCTGCCTTGAGAACTTACCCTGAAAGGCTTTGGTATCTTCATCTGAAAACTTAAAACTGGGGAAAAGCAATGCCAGCTCTCTGTTGGCATCTTCTCTATCTCGGCTTCCATGGACAGCATTAAAGGGCATTTCTGTGCCGTACTGAGCCCGAAGACTAGGAACATTGGCAAAATGTAAAAGAAACAATTGTTTCATTTGAATAGAAATGTTTTGCTTTCTGGCAACATGATTATTAGCTACCAATCAGCACTCTGCCTTTCTGCGAAATTGCTTTCTTTTTGTAGAGCTACCAAGAATAGTAGAGGTGATAGCAGTAGCTGACAATGAATACCTGCTGGCTGGGTGTTTTACATACAGGATCTCACTGTATTTTAGGTGTAAACACAGGAGCTGCTATTTTGTCAATACTATTGTAGAAGACCTGCACCAAGCTGTTTGATTTGGCTTTGCACAGTTAATCCTCACAATAACCCCATAAGATAATACTTATATGCCAGGACTTCTGTGTGTCAAGCACTGTTTTAACTGCCTCTATCCTATCATGTTGATTGTTCATATCCCCATTTTACAGATGAAATTACAGAGGCTGAGAAGGGACTTGCTGAGTGTGTGGTACCTAGCATTTGAGCCCCAGCTTCTTTTACTTGACCAGCTGACTCACACACAACTGCTCTTGGCATCTTATAAGATATAACTACAATTCCTGGGCCTCTTACTGAGTCCTTTCCTGTTGTCTGGGTCCCACAGCTTCAAAGGCCAAGATACTGGCATTGGTGACACCTGGCTATCCCATCACAGGGCCAAGAAGCAGGCCAAGCCAGACTGGTGCAGTATGATGAACAGTATGCTCAGACTCCAGAGGGCCTCAGGACACCCTGGGTAGGTGGGTGGGGAGCTGAGTCCACAGTGCAGATTCTAAGGCCATCCCCAGGCTCTCTGACTTGACAGACCCGAGTAGGGCCCCAGAAGCCGTATCCTGGAAGCACACTGGGACTCTGGCTAAGAGATAACAGTGATGAGAACTGAATCAAACAGCAGCCACCATAAGAGGGCAGAGGAGGGAGCAGGCCACTCACAGGAGGTATTTGGCAAAGGCTGGGCACCAAAGCAGAGCAGAAGGATGTCAGCATCTCCTGGCCACCAGAGAGCCTCTGTGTTTCCCACAACTCTCGGCCGAATACCAGTGGGGTATAGGTATTCAGATGAATGGAAGGACCACAGCTGGTGACGGTACCTTTCAGGCTGCTCCCTCCTAGCCACATTGGGGTCACAGGGTCCCATTAGGTCTCTCCAGGCAGTAACCACATCCTTGGTGTCCTCTGTTCTGGTGAGGATCAGGAGATGGCTCGGGCCACTGCACATGTGATATACCAGCTTTTCAAAGATCTAATCACAAGGAGGGAAAGTGATGACCCTAGGTAGGAGCCAGTGAGGCCTGAAGAGGGTCAGGGAACCCATCCTACCCACAGGCAGGGAGGAAATTGGTGAGCGGCCTTGCCGCCCACCAGTATGCCCACAGGACTCAGCCACTGCCTGGCCATCTCTGCCTGCTATGGGGACTCCTGGCAGGAGTGGTGACCAACTCACCCTGAGAACCCAAAAAGGTGGGATTTTAAGTGGACTCATTTGGGATTGAACATAAGATAACAAAATTAGGCAGAAGCATTTAAAAGACCGTATATGTGGAAATCATGTATGGGTGTTGAATAACCAAAAGTGGGATACAGTTGAGACTTGGGGGGGGGGCACTTTTTTGGGGATTGAACCAAAGGCCTCACATAGGCCAGGCAAATGCTTTATCACTGATCTACCTCTTCAGTCTTCTCCTCTTTTTTCCATTTTTCATTTGAGACAGGGTCTCACCCAGCTGCACAGGCTAGTCTCAATGTTGTAATCCTCCTGCTTCAGCCTCCTGAGTAGCTGGGATTATAGCCACTATGCCCAGGATAATAAATTGTTATTTCATTACTTAAAGTCAAAATCTTTTCCTTGCAACCATTGAACTTTACCTGATATAGGCTATAATTATTATTCTGAGAGCAAATTCATGACCCATATTCTTGTTCTTTGTAATATTCTATCTTTTCCCAAACTACTCAGTCTATAAGTATAATGTTGAAGGAGAGAAAGAAATTAGTGTTGAATGTCTGGAAGCAGATGAGCAGACCTCTCCAGCTCTGTGTTGGTAAAAAAGTCGCATTTCTGCCTCTGTCATAATTCTCTCTTCATGTGTTAGAATGTCAAACCCAGCTTCCTGGATCTGTAGAATATACATAAGTATTTTGAAAGTATAAATCAAGCCAGCCCAAATTTACATTTAATTTAATTGAAAGGTTAAAAAAAAGTAAGGCAACATTAAAAGTAGTGGAGACCCTCGCCCTCACAGTATCTGTCCCAATCAGATTTACCATTTTCATTTACTTGAGTGTGATTAAGAGTTACAACTCCTTAGATGCCTTCTTTCCCGCCAAGATACTGCTGCCTGATGCCCCGCCTCTGTTTATCTATCAGAAGGGACATGAGGACAGTCATGCAGGTAAATGTTACCTCTCTTACCTTCACAATAATCTCGTCAGTCTTTCCATGGACCACTGCATCTGGTTTAATGATAGCCAGGGTACAGGTCTTCTCAGATGACACTGAAATAAGCAGGGGAGGTACTGTCAGGCAGTGGTCTTGAAGGCTGATGGAAGGCCACTTGCAGAAACAGGGCAGCCCCTACTCAAGGCTCCACTGTACCAGGTGGCAGGGATAAGGCTTGGCTTCCGGGATACCTCCCCAGGCGTCTTGGCTGTGCCTCTACAGACCTAGATTCCAGGAAAGTATAAGGCTGGCTCCAGAGCTCAACCTCAACCTGGCTCAGTGGGAAGGAAACATGCTCAATGAACCCAGGGTCAGGAGAACACGTGGTGGGGAGGGTGCTGAAAGACTGGAACAGAAGCCCAGAAACAACTGAATGGGTTGGCCTGGAGTTGGGCAGGCAGGGGTGCTGGAGCAGAGGCAACACAGGCCCAGCCACCCTCATCCCTTCCTACCCATGTCTCCTGATTCTCAGCTTCTAACTGCTGTCAGCTCCAGTGGCTACTTTGCTTCTGCTGCTTTTTATCTTTCCTGGACTCGTCAGCTCTAGCACATGTTACCATATTGCAGCTTCAGTCCTGTCCCAGGTCAAGTTTCCCTTAGAGAAGGCCAGATTGACCCACTCATTTTGTTGTTTTGGTTTTAGGATTTTTTTGTCTTTTTGTTTTGTAGTGCTGCGGTTGAACCCCCGTGCATGCTAGGCAAGTGCTCTACCACTTGGCTGGTTTATGGATTAACTTCCCTTAGGTCTGTGTCTGCCATCCATCAGCTGAGCAGTGAAGGAGGGGCCACAGGAGCAAAGCCCACTACTTAGGCCCAAGCTGTGGGCAGGTCCTCAGGGAGCTGTAGGGAGGTCTGGTCATACCCAGGAGCCCCTCTCCATTACCTTCCTGTATATATGAGTACAGCCTTGGTGGATTCCAGAATCAGCATCCCCGCACTGTCCATTTTCTACTTTTCAGCTTTATATTGGTTGTGTCACAGTGAAACAAAACAATACCTACATTTAACGGAGGTTTTCTACTCTGAAAATCTGACAAACGTGAACTGAAAAGGTATGTGCTGTGGTTTCCTATGTTAGAGAGACTTGATTTGGGAAGAAGATGGAGGTGGGAAGAAAGAGGATATAACACAAAAATGAGGCAACAAATGTTTCCTGCAGGAGCCAAATTGCTAGTTTTCTTTTCACACAGTTGTCTTCCTTTTCTAAACTGTCTCCTTTTTAGAATCCAATTCAAACGGTTCTTATCCACACAGGAAAAAACAGCCTTTCTACTGCATGCAATAATAATTTTAAAACTTCCTTCTCTTTATCAGCTTAGCTCCTGACATAATTTGGTTCCCCTGGTGCTCCAATTACCACCAAGAAATATCTTCCCAGCAGCAGCCTGTTTAACTCTCAGTCTTCACACTGCAGGCCAGGTTGCTGTGGTCAGAGGAAAGTCCAGAAAGGGCTGCTGTCCCCACAAGTGCCAAACTTGTGAGTTGCTACTTACGAAGTCAGGGAAAGAGTAGGACATAGGGTATGTGGTGTAGGGCGTGGGGCTGCAGGGAGAAAGGCTGTCTGGTATTTCAGAAAGAGACACTAAAAGAAGCCTCAGCTTCCCAGTTCAGATAATCGCTCATAAAATACCCATGTCATTGCTTTACATTACTAGTGTCACTACTTCCCTTTTACTAAGCGGAGCTTTCCTGATGCTGGGTGACTGCCATGAAAGTCATTCTTGTTATACTTGAACATCATCAGAAAGATGTGAAATATATCCAAGATGCTGTTAAAGAGCAGAAGGGAAATTCAACAGAGTGTTTGAACTCAGGCAATTGGAGGCAGAACATTTGATGATCAGTCTACCTGGACAGAGTTCAGATTGCTCATTAACCAGATTACTCAAATTTAAAACATCAAATCTGAATCTGCCTCGCCTTCTGGCCTTGCTTGTTCTGCACTCACCGACATCCTCATCTTCACCATCATCCTTTTCATGAGAAAAGCATTCCTCTTCATCAGAAAGAGCCTCATCTTTAATCTAGTACAAATAGGTCATGAGCAGAGTGTAGTTAGCCAGTTTAAATTATTAAGACCTTCAAAACATTGAGAAACAACAAAAACTAAAGGTCCAAAATATAGAGCAGCAATAAAAGGATGTTAAGATTATCAAAGTCTTAGACAATTTATAAGACCTTTTCTAGTGGATGGGGGGGTATATATAAAAGTGCTAGGGCTTGAACCCAAGGTCTTTACACTGAGCTACATCCCCAGCCTTTTTATTTTTTAAATTTTGAGACAGGATGCTCAGTTGTTTAGTTCCTCGTGCTGGGCTTGAACTTGGGATCCTCCTGTCATAGCCTACCAGCGTGCTGGTATCACAGGTATGTACCACCATACCTGACAAAGATTCTAGCTCTTTTGTCAAGTGTTTATGTAGAGACTAAGGAAAAATAAAGAACAGATAGTGAGAAGACAAAGAATTAAAATGTAAAATATATGTTAACTGATAGGCTATTCCATGCAGAGAAGAAAGAGATGGATCTTAGTTCCCAGAGGAGGAAAATGTGACCATTTGTAGTTTTCTTTCTTGAGGAAAAATTGCTACCATTTGGGGGGAGGGGTAGATAATTTGGTTATAACCCATCCTGTAAGAAAAGGGTTTTGCTATTTTGAACTGAATATGAAAATCTGAACATTGAACAATGTTGAGGCGTGTTTGGCAGTTGTACAAAGCACTGGAATTACCTCTTTCTATGGTGCATCCATTTTCAGAGGTAGCCAATTATTTGTGAAGAACTTGCAGTCTGTTTTACTATGGAAACAACTGCTCAAAATCACAAGCCATGTTGACCCTATTTTTCGCGGCAATGACAGAGCTTGAGTGCTAAGTTAGAAAAATTAACTGTCTGGGATCACAAGTGAAACCTTCAGGAATGTGAGTGCATGGGTCACTAAGAAAGATTTCCCCTTGAGATGGAGGGTATGCTTCTACCCACTGGCTAAAGTTTGAATAAGTGTCCCCCAATGGTCCACATGTTAAAAGGCTTGATTCTCAGCTTGACATTATCGGAAGGTGGTGGAAACTTAATAAGAAAGGGCTTAGTGGGAGGTCTTAGGCAATGGGAAGTTCGCCCTTGACAGGGGTTTGAGGCAATAGTTTTTGCTCTCTGTGTTTGCTTCTCTGTGTCCATGAAGTAAGCAGCTTCCTCCACCACACACCCCCACTATGATACACACAGCCTTTCACAGGTACAGAAGCACTGGGTCCAACTGTCCTTGCAAAACTATGAAACAAAATAAACCTTTCCACTTTTAAGTGGAATTTTCTAAGAGAAATTTGTTATAGTTACAGAAAGATAACACACCTCTACTCAGTTCTATAAATTTATTTTTCTTTCTGAGTTTATTGTTTGTTAAGAGTTGCAATTGTGAGCTAAAGAGAAATGGATAAAAGATATTAAAGGGCTCTTGATGAAAGAGACAACTTTTAAAAAACTCCAAATAACAGACATATCACAGTTGGCATTTTACACTCTTGAACGCTCTGTGAGGAACACACCCAGCACTACATATTTATGAAGCATTTCACTGACAGCTGTAGGATAACCTGGGGCAGGGTGGGAAGGACTTCTAGCTTCCTGCTATGAGCATGTTTGTGAGCGTGGCTTATAGAAAGGAACTCTACTCACCACTTTTCGCTCCCTGCCTTCAGCCAGTACCTTCTTTTCAGCCTCTAGTTGGTCGAGGATGGTCTTCTGCAGCAGTGGGGCATTTGCTCCCCTAACTACAGCTACCAACTCTCCTCCCTGGAATGAATTACAAATCATGTGACCTCCTTTTCACATAGTTAACCTCTCTTAAGAGACAGCAAGAATGTTTAAAAGTGTATCAAATGGGCTGGGGATTTAGCTCAGTGGTTCTGCCGCCTGCCTCGCAAGTGCAAAGTCCTGAGTTCAATCCCTGGTACCAAAAAAAAAAAAAGTGTATCAAAGGTCAAGGCCCATTGACCCCAAGCCCACAGCCTCCACCATCCATTTCCAGTGTGGGGTGTTCACCCCTGCTGCCACCTTCTAAGGCCTTCCCACCAGGATGCCCTTGGGTTCGCTCTTAGTTCTAAAATGATTTTCTCTTGATCTAAGTGTGGTGGTGCACACCTGTCATCCTAGCACTTGGGAGGCTAAGGCAGGAGAATCACCACAAGTTCTAGGCCAGCCTGGGCTACAAGTGACATGCTGTGTAAATAGGCCAGCCTGAACTACATAGCAAGACCCTGTCTCAAACCCTTCCCCGCCAAAAAATGATTCTCTGTCCCTCTGATCTGTACCTTCTACTCTGTCCCCCTCCCTTCAAAGCTTCCTTCAGGGCAACTGACAGAAAAAATAGTACACAAAAGTTGTGAGTGACTAAATGACTATACATGGCATATTCAATTAACAAATATCTACTGAGCACTTTCTATCCCAAGCACTTAGTATGCCAAACACTTACTAGGCAGAGGTAAAGAATACAAATGCTAAGCATGAAAAGACATAGTCACTGCCCTCAAGGAAGAGTGAAGAGGTGGTGCCAAATAAACAGTTATGATACCCTACCTCTGTCCAGGTAGATCATCAAATGTCTCCAGTTTCCTGAGTTCAAACATTCCGTGTACTGCAACTGTAATGTACTTACTGCGTAAAACAGAAAGGTGGGCTCACACTTCCCTCGGTATTTTTCAAGGACATCAAGACAATCTGCCTCTGCCTAAAGAAAACCAAGTTATCAGCAGGCAACTTGGTGCAGTGGGTACAAGGCCGCAGGAACTCTGATCTCCCCAGGAGAAGCCCAGCTCACTGTCCTGCTGCTCCTTCTAATCAGAGCTGTCCTGTCAACACATTGGTAAAAACTCTGGGTGACCTCCTACCTTGAAAAATCAAGGGAAGAGGAAACATGAGTTTTCCCCATTCTCACACAGCTACTGTACCCATCTGAGGAAAGTCCACCATCTAACGTCCTTCTGCAGCCATGACTGGCAACAACAGATGTGAGAGGTCCTCAGATGTTGCCTTCATTGATAACAAGCCCACTGTCAGAGACACCACAGACCCCCCGGCCAGCTGCCTGCAGCATACTCTAGAGAGGTGCTAACACTGACTCTCACAAGGCAAAGTGCACAGTCCTTGAAGTCCACCTTCTTGGAAGATTAGAATTAAATTTTGTTATCTTCTGCCTTTACTACCTGTGAACTTCAAACTCATGCAGTGTATCAGCAGTTATCTCTGACACACATTCATCCAAATAATATTTGCTGAAAATTCTCCTTTATAAAGCAAAGCATGGAAAGCTTGAAACTTTGTGCTCTAAAAGTGACATTTCAGTCAACAGTGTTCATGAGCCAAGATGGAGCATATGCATTTGAATAACATGTATTCCTTCCCTTCATACAGCATCAAGAAATTCCCTAAGCCAAGGGGCCTTTCAGGAGGTAGTTTCTCTACATCTAGAAAAATTGTAAGGCGTCATGACAGTATCAACAACTGATGCCTTACAGTGATCTGAAAAAGGTAGTTCATGCTTCCCATTCCTTACTATTATTCCATTTCACTTTGCAGTGTTGTACAACTGTTGCCAGGAAAGGATCTTACCAATGCAAAATGTAGAAGGTCCAGGCCAAACTCGATCTTCATCTTCTGAAAGAGGCTCACCACAGGTTTGCAGGGGCCGCACCAGCCTTGGTAGACATCAACAACTGCATGGAGCCAAGAAGCAAGTTTAATCCTGCATGTTCCAGCCCCTCAAATGGACATCTGTTTACAGGGGTACTCAGTGGTGAAAAGGATTTATTATGCTATCTGATTATGAAGCACTGTGGAAACACAGCATTCTCTTATTCTTATGGATTCAGTATAATAAATTCCAAATATAATAAAGTAAGTACAACAGAAAATCATTTTCTCGAGGTGGCTGCTTACTTTATGGGTTTTCCACACTACGTTCAGTGCCAGGCCTGACACAGTGGTCCTTGGTGAATATCTGAATTGGACTAAACCAATTTTTTCAAAGTTTTTAAGACAGGGTCTTGCTATGTTTCCCAGGTTGGCCTTGAACTTGCAATTCTCCTGTGAGTAGCTGGGAAAAAATCTGTTTTAAAGGAGAGTTAAGGTAACAGCAGGTGTCCAATCAGCATATAAGTGACTCATCTACTTTGATAGTAAACACAGCTTTAACCTTTCCCTTGATGAATTAAAAGCCACTTACTTTGAGTAATGCAGTTTCATTTACTTTGTCAAAACACTTTTCCCCTGGAAAGAGAACCTGATAGAGAGCAGATGGCAATTTGGATTCCTGTGTCATATTAGGTCTGAGTCTATAATCAATATCAGTTTGGGTGTGAAGGAACCCTTATCTGACTTTAGGCAACCACGAGGCCTGTAGGAAGGTGTGCAGGCCAATGTATCTGTGCACCAGACACAGTCAGGACCTGCCCGGCCTGATCATGAAGCAGAAGCAAGTGCTAGATTATGTGGCCACATTTCAGAGAAGGGATGTTTTCCAGGAGGCCTTCCCATTCAAGGGGTTTGTGTCTGGCCCACACAGGTGGCATTTCTAGTCAATAGCCAGAGTAGCACAGTCACAGATAGATAGTGTGAAAGGCCCCAGCTATTAATACTGTCACAGTGGCCACTAAGTTTCAACATTTGTAGGGGACATGTTCAAACTACAGCACACCAAAACCAAGTTTTGAGCCAAGTCTGTATGATCCCATAGCCATGCTCTTTCAATTGCTCCTGGAAAGAAGCAAGAGTCACTAACTCAGGAGTATTATTGATTGCTTCATCCAGATACCATAATTCTGCAGAAAGTGAAACTTAGGCTGGTTATGAGGGAAGTGAGGAAGGCACACACAGGGGTGGCAATGACTGAAGGGAAAGGAGGAAGGAAGCCACACCTTCAAGAGGAAGTAGAAACACTGGGGGTGAAAATAAAGTGTGCATGAAAAGAATCCCACCTTGAGCCTGACACAGAAAAAGAACTGGGTGGGCAGGGTGGAGATGGCTGGAGCGAACTCAATTCTAGATGAGCTGGGTTTCTGATGCCAATCAAAAACAAACAATGACAAAGGTCACAAAGGCAGCCAGACATCCAGAAGGAGACCAGGGGCAAGAGAAGAATTTGAGCCTTCTTGGTGTCCAGGTAGAGGTTAAGGCTTTTCTGAGAATAGGATTTTCATAATTGACAGATATTTGGATTTCAACACACTACAGTCATGCAGGTGGAGACCAAAAGGGCATTGGGGTCAAGCCAAGAAGTCTCTGAAGACTCAAGACCCTGTAAATAGGCCCACCTAGGAAGACAGATTTATGTCCCAAAGGTAAAAGGGGGGGGCTGCAATTACATTAAAACCTCTATGCAGTATTTATATTGATTGTTCACCTATCATTTCTACCAGCTTCTCATACTGTCTTGTTCTCCTTGGCTCTGGAAGAACCAGCAAAAGAACCTTTTGCTGTGGGGACAAAGGCACATTTCATAAGGTTATGGAGGGAATGGAGAGTGGGACATGCAGAGGTTGACTTTCAAAGACGGGGAAGCAGTCAATGGCCATACCACCCTGAATGCGCCTGATCTCACCTGAGAAACAAGAAGCAAAATAGAGAAGACACCTGGAAGGAATGGCAGAGACAAAGAACACGTGTGTGTGTGTGTGTGTGTGTGTGTGTGTGTGTGTGTGTACACACATGCACATGCATTTGCATATACAAACTTGATTAGACTTTTGCATGTTAGAAGACATGATAGGGCCGGGGATGTAGCTCAGTGGCACAGCACCTGCCCGGCAAGCATGAGGTCCTGAGTTTGATCCCTGGTACCAAAAAAAAAAAGATGATAATAAGCCAGGAGAAGGAAAAACTTCCAAGATAATGGTGGCTTTGGAAGCAAGTTTCTATTGGCTCTAGAGAGAGGGAGAAATATATATCCTGTGCAAGAGTATGTGTGGTGTGAGTGTGGGGAGTGTGTGAGTGTGTATTCCTCTAACCTGCCTGATGAGAAGGGCTGAAAAGAGCCCTTATGCCTTCAGTCAGCAAAGGCTCAAGAACAGGCTCAGCAGAGTCCATGCTCAGTAGATGTTAGCCACCACCGTACAGGTGCTCAGAAGGGTGGCTTGGAACATGGCAAATTCTCAAAAAATCATTGTTGCTAAAGAAATAGAAATAATGACTTGTTTTACCCTGGTATTGTGTTCTAGTTGCCCAGACAAGACACAGTGACAGAATACTTAAGCCTTGGCACAATTAAAAAGGGTTTATAATCCCTCAAGTAGAAGAGTGTGGCAATACTCATACCCACACAACTGGATTGATAAGACCAGCACTCTTGTGTTGAGTCTAGGTCAGAGCCCGAGACAGGGGCCACACCAGACAGGGTGTGCTGGGGGTGGGGGATTGACAGAGCCCTGGGGGCTCCTGGGAAGAAGTAACCACACAGAAGTTCAGGAAAGATGTCAAGCAGGGAGGCTACTGTAGAGATGGGCCTGAGAACGAGAAAGGTATCTACAGGTTGTGATGGACCATGGTAATTTAAGGAGGAGGCACAACACTGATAATGTGAAGAAATGGGAAACATGTTAGAGCTCAGAACACACCTCAGGAAACAGTAGGAAGGGGCTGGAAAGACAGATGGAGTCAGAAGAGAAAGAGAGTTCTTAACTGCTGAAGAGTCATTTGGTGGGATCTGGAGACCCCCAAAGGACAGGAGCAGATATGAATAGACATATTTATAGATAAGAAATGAGTAGACACACAGAGAGTGATAGAAGTATCTAGAAAAAGCTGGTCATGGTGGCCTGTTACTTGGTGGTCGTTATTCTGGTGGTTATTCATGGTGGTCGTTATTCATGGTGGTCGTTATTCTGGAGGCTGAGGAAGGAGGATGGCAAGTTCAAGGCCAGCCTGGGCAACTTACCTAGTTTCAAAGGAAAAGAAATTTATTTTTGGTACCAGGGATCAAACTTGGGACCTCGCACTTGCAAGGCAGGCAGTGGCACCACTGAGCTACATCCCTGGCCCTCAAAGGCAAATTTTTTAAAGGGCTGGGATGTAGCTCAGTGGCAAAGCACTTGCCTAGCATGCATAAGCTTCTGGGTTCAATCCCCAGTTAAAAGGAGAAAAAAGAGCCAGGCATGGTGGCACACACTGGTAAGCCTATCAATAAGGAGGCTGAGGTGGGAGGAGGATAATTTGGGGCCAGTCTGTGCTACATAGTAAGTTCAAGGCTGGTCTGGACTACATAGTGAGACCTTGTCTCAAAAAGATGGGAAAGGGCAGAAATGTCTTTGAGATTAGATTAACAAAGCTGATTTCCATCTGGTGCTTTCTCAGAACCCTGCTCTGGAGGAAGCCAGTTAACCATGTAGCTGCAGGGAGAAAGGAATGGCAAAAAATTGATCGCCAACAATCATTGAGGACTTGAATTTTCAAACAGCCACATGAGTGAACTTGGAAATGGATCTTCTAAGGTCGGTTAACAGCCACATAGATGAGTTTAGGAAGCAAACCTGCCCCAAATTGAGCCTTGAAGTCCTCCATATGACACCTTTCTTGCACCCTCGTGAGACTCTGTTGCCCACCCAGCTAAGCTACATCTGGATTCCTCACCCACATAAACTGTGGAATACTGTTTGTTGTTCTGAGCCACTAGTTTTAGGATACACTGTTATGCAGCGATAGATAACTGATACAAAGACAGGGATGAAGAATCCTGTGGACAGCAGCTGTGTTTCCTGATTACTGCAATCCTAGTTGTGGTGCCTGGCACTCTCTCTCTCTCCCTCTCTCCCTCCCTCTCTCTCCCCCCTCCATCCTTGAGTTCCAAGAGACCCCCATTTTCCTTCTAGTACATTCTCCTTTTGTGTGTCAGGTAATTAGAAGAAGTTTCTGTGACTGAACACCAAACTATCCTGACTATGGCAACCAGCTCTAAAATAAGGGAACTCTGCTATCTAATAGTACTGACTCATTTCCTGGACTGAATTTATGGTATTCAAGCCAGATTTAAATACAATACCCACCCCCCATTCTAAGAGGATATGTTCTAAGATCCCCAGTGGACACCTGAAACTGTCTAGTACCAAACCTTATACAACCATTTCAATGCCAAGACAGTTAATCTGATAACTGAGCTGGCTACAAGAGACTAATAGGAAGGCAGCATATACAGCATGGATACACCGGACCAAAGGATGATTCATGTCCCAGATGGATTTCATGAAATTTCCTCATGCTACTCAGAATGGCATGCAATTTAAAACTTATGAATTATGTAGCTCTAGAATTTTCTGATTTAATATTTTTGGACTATGGTTGAGAGCAGGTAACTGAAACTATGCAAAGTGAAATCTCAGATAAGGGGAAACTACTGTACACATGACACAAAGAAATCACCTGGTTCTTTATGAGGCTCACAATTACAGGAAAATGGTGCTTGCTGCAGCCCTTCTCATAATGGTTCAAAACATCATTTAACAATTTCAAAAAGCATGTATCTAAAAAATTTTTATTTTAAATTACCAGTTAGTCCTTTGGAACTGAGCATTTCTTCCCAAAGCTCCTGGCTGCTGATATTGACCTAGAGCCAAAGAGGATCAAATGGCTATATCACTGAGGGCACAGATGAGGAACCCAGTCAATGTATTTTTCTCTAGATTTCTCTCTTTCTCTGAAATACTTACAAGTAGAGTTTAAATTGACC